AGTCACTGCCCAAGTGAAGGAACGGCCCACCCTATCTCATTCCCTTGTGGCACCCTCTTCGGGTTCTCCCAGCCTCCCCAGTTCCCCCCACTTCCATGGCTTGCAAACAAAGTACATTTGTACGTAATTTTTTAGGATGCCAGGAGCTGTGATGGGAACCAAGATGAGCGAGCCAAGCTTTATCTTCGGGAGGACAATGTGATAAGCCCTCACCATGTCCTACTGTTACCCGCCAGGTTACCTTGCAGAAGAAGAGATGCTGAGTGCGCCCGGGGACCTGGGGGCGGGAGATGGAAACTCCCTAATCTTTGGGTCAGGGTATTCTCTTAAAAGGCCCGATTCAGAAAATGAGCACCTTGGCTAGTACTAAACTCTTTGGTTGCTAAAGCATCAGAGGCACCTGATCGTGAGCAAAACCCTTTGAAAATTGTTATGGATTGAATTATGTGTCCCCCCCAACCCCCAAATTCATATAATGAAGCCCTAATCCCTAGTACCTCAGAATGTGTTCGTATTTGGAAATTGGGCCTTGAAAGCTGTAATGAAATTTAAATGAGGCCTTTAGAGGGGGTCTTACGCCACTATGACCGGTGCCCTTCATGAGAGATGAGAATCCAAAGAGGTGTGTGTCCACAGAGGGAAGACCACGTGAGAACACAGCAAGAAGGTGGCCATCTGCAAGGCAAGGAGAGAGGTCTCGGAAGAAACCTAGCCTGTGGACGCCTTGGACTCCTAGCCCCCAGGACTGTGAGGAAAGAAGATTTATATCATGTAGTCAAGTAGCTCGTGACACGTTGTTATGGCGGTCCTACCGAACTGATATGAGAATGGGCGTTTTTCAGTCTCCTGGCGGACAGTCTAGCAGTGTGGGCTGCCTCACAGTCTTTCTTCCCTGTAACCCGTCTTGTGGTCAGGCATCCCGGGGAGAGCCGATGAGGGGCCCGAAGCCGGGTGTGGCTTGGAGGAGCATATAAGGTCAAGGCCTTTATCTCTTCTTCCCCAGTGTGTTCAAGAGGTTGCCTTCTGCCACCTGGGCTTAGTTACAGGATTTGCTGCACGTGCTGTTCTACTTGAAAAAATACACACTCCGAGGAGGGAAGCTAAGTCTGTTTCAGAGTGCTGATTTCCAAGTCCAAGTGCAGTGAACTCATGAGATGTTCCCTTTCAGAGTCGTCCAGAGAAGCAAACCTCCCACATCTGAGATGAGAAGAGTGAATCAGAAGGAAGCTGTTTCCTGGCACCTGAAGCACGGACATCACTTCAGCAGCTGATGCTCTAATAAATGTGGTGACAGGAAGAGATGAAAACTATATATTCACATGTATGTAATTTACCTGGGAGTGACGAGGCACAGGAAGGGAAGGACGAAAAATAAATCACTGTGTGTGTGTGTGTGTGTGTGTGTGTGTGAGAGAGAGAGAGAGAGAGAGAGAGAGAACCGTCCATCTGTGGCAGACAGCCTTAGAGAGTAATCCATCCTTGATTTGATCTCTCCCTCTCATGAGCCGCACAACATTCTTATCAGTACTAGGTGTGCTTATGTGTTCATTAATTCAGCAGAATCTTATTGCACTCCTTCTTGCTAGACCCAAACACAAATCATGAGACACTCTCTGCCCTTGGGGAAGTCGGCATCTGACCTGGTGACAGATACGTATACTGGGAAATCCCTCCCGACTGGCAATGTTGACGTTGAGGTATGTGCAGGGTAGAGGGGGCCACAGCAGTGGGGAGACGAGGGAAGGCTGCAGAGAGGAGGGGACGTTCGAGCAGGGGTTTGGCAAGGGGGGGCAGTGTTCTTATTTCTGTACAATCAGTGATTTTAACTATTCCAGTAATCACTTTTTTAAAAAATTGATTCGAGGTGGGGTGGGGGGGCGAGGGCAGAGGGAGAGAGAAAGAATCTCAAGCAGGCCCCATGCTCAGTGTGGAGCCCTGATGTGGGGCTTCATCCCAATACCCCAGGATCACGACCTGAACCAAATTCAAGAGTCAGATGCTCAACCGACTGAGCCACCCAGGCGCCCCATATTTCAGTAATCACTTTTATTTACATTAACTCACATATAGTTAAAGTGTAAGGGTTTTTTTTTTTGTATATTAGAAATTCTCATTATCTGAACAGCTTGATAAGTATGCCCATAAATTTTTACCTATGTATTATATTTCCATAGTGAAATGTAAGTTGGATGCTTTAATGTGTTCATTTCAAGATTTTAGGTCTTTTTGTGGGTAGTGCTCTAGAAAGATCATGGCGTGAAGGATCATAGTTGAGCAGCCATGATTTCATGTGTGTATGTGTCACATGTGCTCATGAGCATTAGTCATGTGATTGGAGGTGGGAGCTGGCGTGTAAAAGAACAAAAGGTTTGCCAAGTCCACATTGTCTGCTGGTGAGTGGCATGAAGTGGCCTGAGAAAGCTTTCCTTGCACCCTTCGTGGGGCTCTCCACTAAAGGTGTCCTCTCGGTCACTCTGTGACCGTGTCTAAACCAACGGATCACATGTAAGAGGTGCTCAAAATACGTGGTGATTGAGGGAGAGCTGAAAGCTACCCCTGAGGTCTGCTCTGGTTTCTTCCTAAGGAAACAGGGTGATTCCAGAGCCTCCCAAACAGTATGTTATAAAATACATAACAGAGTATACATATATATGGAAATATAGTAATACAGAGAACGATCAAAAGTAAGATGTTATGGAAGTTATGTGTTTTGTAATTTTTTCTGTGTATACTTAAGCGTCTTGCATCCTGTAAAAATGTCACACATCAGTATAGAATTTTAGATTCATACATACTTAGTTAAAAAGTAGGTCACTTGAACTTATAACTTTGCCCAAAATGTAATCAGAATTATTCTGCTGAACACCAGGACAGCCTAACTTAGAAAAACATGGTAATGGGGTGCCTGGGTGGCTCAGTCAGTTAAGCGTCCGACTTGGGCTCAGGTCATAATCTCACAGTTCGTGGGTTTGAGCCCCACATCGGGCTCTGTGCTGACAGCTCAGACCCTGGAGTCTGTTTCAGGTTCTGTGTTTCCCTCTCTCTCTGACCCTTCCCTGCTCACACTGTGTCTCTCTCTCTCAGAAATTAAAATAAAAAATGGTAGTATATTTGTTCAACACAGAAATTTTAATTTTTTTCAGTATTGCCTTGAAATGTCCTTTCATATTCTATAGTTTTTAACCTTATTCAGGAGAATGAACTGTTTCTTTTAAGGTCAGCTAACTCATGAATTCCTGTGGGATACTTATTAAATTATGCCCCGTGAATAGTTTTCACATTCTTTTTTGAGACAGAGAACAAGCATGAGCAGGGGAGAGGGGCAGTGGGGGGGGGGGAGGGAGAGAGGGAGAGAGAGAGAATATCTTAAGCAGGCCCCATGCTCAGCGCAGAGCCTCACACAGGACTCGATCTCATGACTGCGAGATCATGACCTGAACCGAAATCAAGAGTCAGATGCTGAACCAACCGAGCCACCCAGGCGCCCCTATTTTTCACATTTAAAGAAACATTTAATCTTACTGAAGTCTTAATAGTGTTTCTGCTCATGTAAAATAAGTGTTTTCGTTTTTAAGGATCTCAGGTGCTCAGAATGGAGTCAGCCATTGATCATGTTCCTTATCAATGACACAAAATCATTGGTCCGGAAAGGCTGCATCTTTGCTCTTTCATTTTACCTGAGCATCTCTTCTTCATCTCCTGCCTGCATTTCCTTATTCCTCACTCCCTCGTGAATTTAATGCTTGTCCCCTGCCCGAGTCATTTTCCCGATTTTGAATATATTTCCTTGAAAAACTATATAATAATATTTATTTTTGTATAAGTTTTACAATTTTTAAGAAATATTTTTTAAAATATTTTTATTTATTTCTAGGAGAGAGAGAGAGAGACAGCGTGAGCAGGGGAGGGTCAGAGAGAGAGGGAGACACAGACTCTGAAACAGGCTCCAGGCTCCGAGCTGGCAGTCAGCACAGAGCCCGACGCGGGGCTCGAACCCACAAACCGCGAGATCATGACCTAAGCGAAAGTCAGACGCTTAACTGACTGAGCCACCCAGGCACCCCTGAGTTTTACAATTTTATGTAAAGGATATTGTGCCGTAAGTCTCATTTGGCTAACTTTGATACACTGTCAGGTTTTCAGGATCTGTCGGTGTTACTTTAGATAACATGCTTCTGGTTGATGCATGTTACTTTATTGTGTTCACATACTATAGATTATCGTCTCTTCTACTCATACTCAGGTTATTCCCAACTGTTCTTGCCTCCATGAACTTGTATGTCTTATATGTGTCTTCTTATGACTCTGCCCTGTAGCGGTTTTGTTTTTTGTTTTTCATTTTTGTTTTTGGTGCATATATATCCTAGAGTAGATGACAGATGTTTGGGCTTGTGTATTTAGTTTCGGTAAGTAGTGCTGGATTGTTCTCAGGAATGGTTGTACCCGTGTTATTTCCAATATGGTAACTATCGGTAGATGTACGCCACATAGATGAAAACTCCTTGGGTTCTTTGATATTTTTTTAAGACCCTGAAGGGTACCTGAGACTCATTGGTTTGAGAGCCAATGACTTACTCTACGACACTACTGGCAAAAACCATCAGTTATCATACCTACACTGAGTTCATGTTGTTTCCGGTGAGGTACTGTCTTACCTCCATGTGTTCACCTGTTAGTAAAGCACATTACATAACTTTTTTCCCCCACCATTTGGAGGAAAAGTGGAATTAGGTCCGAAGTTTGGCAGGTCTGTTTTATCCTTCTAGGCTGAGTCGAAGGCTGGAGGCCCTTCAGAGGGCATGGGAAGCACAACGGGTGAGCGCGGAAGAACAGGGAACGTGGGCAACCTCGTCTCAAGCACGGCGCGGAGGGCGGTGCTGAGAACTCAACTGTCAGAACTTCCAGAGGCAAGCTGGGACGGCTTCGGCTCCTTCTGGGCCAAGCCCAGGGGCTGCTGTCCCGGATTAGGGCTGTTTGTGCCGAGGGAAGACATTCAGGATATTAACCCTAAAAGGTCAGTTTTCCAGTCACGAGTGGTGTCTGCAGCCTGACTGGTGAGTAACCAGGAAGCCCTTTGTTTCAGTGTGTTGTCCCTTTAAACAGCAGCTGGGCAACTGTTAACAGTCACTGAACTTGGGTCCCTTCTCCAACGTCCCCGGCTCACCCAGGGAGTCCGTCCTTCTCTTTCATTGCAGATTCGCGCCCTTGAAATCTTGGGTGACAGGTGCTGAGAGGCTGGAATCAGTGTCCTGGACCCTAAACGGCCAGAGAGGGAATAAACTGAAATGATAGATTCCTCTGTAATTTACCTGTTGCTTCAGAATATTCCAGTAGTTTGGACTGTCCGCGTTTGGTGGACGCCAAGGCAGGCAGTCTGCGTGTTGTGTGTCAGTGCACGGGTATAAAATTCAGCAAACACACGGGCTCTCACCATACAGAATAAACAACCTCTAACGTTTTATTACTTTTTATGTTTTTAAGTTTGTATTTAATTTTACTATTTTTTTTAGAAATAAATCGTTGGAGAGAAAGCAAAAATCACCTTTAACTGTTACCTCTAGGCTCAATCCTCCTGGCTTCCTCCCTTGGGCTCTGCTCCAGGCAGTTACTATTCTGAATGTGTTATGTGTGATTTTAGTAATTTAAAAATACGGTAAAGCCTAGGGGCGCCTGGGTGGCTTAGTCGGTTAAGCGTCTGACTTTCGCTTGGGTCATGATCTCGCGGTTCGTGGGTTCGAGCCCCGCGTCGGGCTCTGTGCTGACTGCCAGCTCAGAGCCTGGAGCCTGTTTCAGAGTCTGTGTCTCCCTCTCTCTCTGACCCTCCCCTGCTCACGCTGTCTCTCTCTCTCCTAGAAATAAATAAAACATTAAAAAAAAATAAAAATAAAAATACGTTTACAGGGGCTCATGGGTGGCTCATTCAGCTAAGCATCCAACTCGATGTTGGCTCAGGTCATGAGCTCACGGGATTGAGCCCCACGTCCGACTGTGTGTGCACTGACAACGCAGAGCCTGCTTGTGATTCTCTCTCCCTCTCTCTCTCTCTCTCAAAATAAACAAACATTAAAAAATAAAAATAGAAATACTATAGATCCATAATCAAGACACAATATTGTAGTTTTGTATATTTAAAGTTTACATAATTGATTCAGTAGAGTACATATATATATCATTTTCACATCACTCTTAGATTTTTGAGCTCTATCAAAGATATCAATAATCTATCATCTATTGTTAGCACTCCTAAAAATCTCCATGATATTTCATTATAGGATTAAGATGGATTTTTTTTTTTTAACTGTTCCTTTATTCCTAAGCATTGAGATTTTTTCCTATTTTTTTAGTTGTTACAAACAGTCCTGGAATGCACATCCTTGTTCACGTCTCCTTGTACACATATGAGGGTTTTTTTTTATAGTTATATTTAGAAGTAGAAATACAGTGGTGCCCTCTTAACTGTGGCTTTGCTTTCCACGGTTTCAGTCACCCGGGGTCAACCACAGCCCCGAAGCAGAGGATCCTCCTCTGATGCGTGGTCAGAAGGTCTATAGTAGCCTAACATTAGGTCACGATGCCCGCGTCATTCATCTTGCTTTGTCTCATCATGTGGATATTTTATCATCTCACATCATCACAAGAAGGTCAGTACAGTACTGTCTGATAATTTGAGAGAGAGAGAGAGAGACGACATTCACATAACTCCGTTACAGTATATTCTAGTTGGTCTATTTTATCATGATTGCCATTAATCTCTTGCCATGCCTAACTTATAAATTAAACTTCTACAGGCGTGTATGTATAGCAAGTAACATAGTGTTTATAAGGCTTGGTACTCTCTGTGGTTTCAAGCATCCACTGGGGGGTCTTGGAATGCATCACCCACAGATGCGAGGCGACTACAGGACTGGACTGTGGGACACCCGCAGCCTTCACTGACTGTCTACAATGGTTGTATTAATTTATACTCCCACCTGCCCCCTACTGGTTTCTGATGCCCTGTGTCCTCACCCACGCATTATCAGGCTCTTTAGTTTTTAGCTGTAGCCTGACTGAACTTGAGCTATTTTCATATATTTATGTTGCTTTTATCTTTCTCTAAATTGATCACCAATTCAAATGTGTTCTATATGTTTTTATATTTTTTTATTGATTTGTGGGAATCCTTTAAAACATCTAAGAGAAAATCTGTGTCAGTTGTTTAAATTAAAACATACCCTGGGGGCATGTGGTTTGTTCTTAAAGGTTTTTTTTATTAATGTTTTTTATTTATTTCTGAGAGAGACAGCGTGACAGGGGAGGGTCAGAGAGAGAGGGAGACACGGACTCTGAAACAGGCTCCAGGCTCTGAGCTGGCTGTCAGCACAGAGCCCGACACGGGGCTCGAGCCCACAAACTGTGAGATCATGACCTGAGCCGAAGTCAGACCCTTAACAGACTGAGCCACCCGGGAGCCCCATGTCCTTAAAGTTTTTTAATGTTTTATTATTTTTTTCTTTTTAAAAAATGTTTATTTATTTATTTTTAATGTTTTATTTATTTCTAGGAGAGAGAGAGAGAGAGACAGCGTGAGCAGGGGAGGGTCAGAGAGAGAGGGAGACACAGACTCTGAAACAGGCTCCAGGCTCTGAGCTGGCAGTCAGCACAGAGCCCGACGCGGGGCTCGAACCCACGAACCGCGAGATCATGACCTAAGAGAAAGTCGGACGCAAAACCGACTAAGCCACCAAGGCGCCCCTTGACTGTTTCAATGCACAAAAGATTCTTTGTTTTCATGAAGTCAGATTAATCGGTATTTTCCTTTATGGTCCGTGCTTTTGAACCTTTTTGAAGTAATCTTTCCCATTCCCTGATCTCATACAGATTTCATTAAGTCTTTTGAATATTTGAAATTTTGCTTTTCATACTTAGACAATTTAGCCTCTCTGAAATGTATTTTTGTAAGTGATGGAAATTAGAGATAGCATTTCCTCCATACTGCTAACCAGTTAGTTCAGTATAATTTGTAGAATGGCTTTTCTTTTCCTGAAGACTTAATAATGCCACTCTCCAGGCCTCTCTATGTGTATGTGATCACTTTTCCTTGGCTTATTCTGTTCCTATCACTGTTTAATTATCATAGTTTTATAATATCTATTGTCTATTTTACTTTGGTTTTATTATGGTTATTTTATTTTGGTTAAAAACACAGAAAATTTACCATTCAAGGCAATTTTGTTTTGTGTTTTCCTTTTCAAAATTGTATTTAAATTCTGTTTAGGTAACATAGAGCGCAATATTGGTTTCAGCAGTAGAATCCAGTGATTCATCACTTACATACAAAACCCAGTGCTCATTATAACAAGTGCCCTCCTTAATGCCCATCCCCCATCTAGCCCATCCCGCACCCACCTCCCTCCATCAACCCTTAGTTTGTTCTCTATCTTTAATTGTCTCTTACATCAAATAACCTTAAAGTTTACAATTCAGTAGCATTAAACACAGTCACAAAATCGTGCAGCTATCACCACTGTGTATTTCAAGAACTTTTTCATCATCCCAGACAGAAACTCCATACCCATTAAACAATAACGCTCCTTTTCCCCTTTCCGCCAGCCCCCACTAACCTCCAGTCTATTTTTTGCTGTCTCAGAGAATTTGGCTACTCGAGGTACCTCATATAAATGGAATCGTAGCATTTGTCCTTTGTGTCTGCCTGTTTCACTTAGCATAATATTTACAAGTTACATCCATGTAGGATGTATCAGAATTTCATTATTTTTAAAGGCTGAATGATATTCCATTATATGTACATAGCACATTGTGTTTATCAGGTCACTTGCTGATGGACTTTTGGGTTGTTTCCACCTTTGGGCCATTGTAAATAATACTGCTGTGAACACTCGTGTGCGGGTTTCTGTTTGAGTCCTTACTTCCAATTCTTTCGGGTGTGTATCTAAAAGTGGAATTCCCAGATCATATGGTAAATTCTATGGTTAAGTTTTTTAAATTGAGATATAGTTGACATATAATGTTAGTTTCAGGTGTAAACACAACGATTCAATATTTGTATTTATTGTGAAGTGATCACCCACAAATCTAGTTAGCATCTGTCTTCACACATAGTTATAAAATTTTTTTTTCTAGTGATGAGAACTTTTAAGATTTACTCTGAGCAGCCTTCAAATATGCAATACAGTGTTATTAACTACAGTCACCATGCTGTATGTTACATCCGCAGGACTTCTTTCTTTTGTAACCAGAAGTTCGTACCTTTTGACCTTCTTTAAAATTTACTCATCTCCCATTCCCACCTCTGGCCATCATCAGTCTTCTCTGTATCTATGAGCTTGTTTGTTTATTTTTGATCCCCACATATAAGTGAGATCATATAATATTTGTCTTTCTCTGTCTTCATTCAGTTAGCATACTGCCCTCAAGTCCATCCATGTCATTGCCGATGCCAAGAGCTTCCTCGTTGTCATGGCTGGATAATACGTAACTGTATATATTCACCACATTTTCTTTATTATTCATTCACCAATGGACACTTAGGTTGTTTCCGTATATTGCCTGTTGTGAATAATGTTGCAGTGGGTGTGCAGAGATCTTTTAAGGTTAGTGTTTTTACTTCCTGATTAGTAGATAGACCCTCAGGTCAATCATGTGGCAGTTTTTAATGTAAACGAATACGTATGGTCCTTTAGGATCATGAGTGTAAGCTCCCCTGGCCACATAGCCAGCCAATCTAGAGGTGTCCCCTAGGTGGCAGCCGCAAAGATAGTGCCACCCTCTGAGGTCTCTGGAGGGAATTCCCATTGGCCCTTGGACGTGTGCTTAATTGGAAGCCTGTCCCCTAGGCTGCAGCTATGAGGCTAACAGGCCTCTTCCACAGAAAGACTGTTGCCACTCAGCTGTTCCCTGGGGGTGATAGTCGGTTAAGAACCAGTTCTCTGTTGGTTTTATCCTTATGGGACCCACAAGCATGAGTCCTGCTGGTCACCAGAGCCAGGCAACCTAGAGCGTCCCCTGGGAAGT